ACCCAGTAAGGCCTGGACACCACACTCCCCCCATGATCCAGTTGCCTCTGTCCAGACATCCATGCAGGGCTGAAGGGGGGCGGATGACATTTCCTTTTCCTCTCCTATCCCCTTATCCCTTTCAGTACCTCCACATTAAGTATGAAAGGAGTCTGGAGGTGAAAATTTTTAATAAAAAAAAAAAGTTGAGTGTGTAAAAGTCTCACTCTACGTTTCTATAACAGATTAAATTAGTTCTTGAGTCTTAACTTGCACATTTTGGAGAAAATTTGATTTTTTTTGCCAATCCCACATATAAATGCATCTGTATCTGTCTCTGGGGCTTTGTATTCTATTTCCTTGGCCTAGTTATTGACTATAGCTTCATAATAAATATTGGTCTCTGGTAGAATCCCTTCCTTGAAAAGGTGACTTGGCTTGAATTTCAGAATAAGCTTGTCAAGTTCACTACTGATTTTTGTTTCTGGATCTTAGAGTCAACTACCTTGTTTTACTCTTTTATTAGTTCTATTAATTTTTGCTAGATTCTTCTGGTTGTTCTGTGTAGACAATTATATTATCTGCAAACAAGGACAATGGCCTTTTATAATTCTTATATATTTTTTCTTATCTTATTATGTTGACTTTTACTACAGGTTGAATGGAAGGGATGAAAACATTTTTTTTTATCTTGTTCTTGCTTTATTTTTTTTTAAAGATTTTATTTATTCATTTGACAGACAGAGATCACAAGTAGGCAGAGAGGCAGGCAGAGAGAGAGGAGGAAGCAGGCTCCCCGCTGAGCAGAGAGCCCAATGCGGGGCTCGATCCCAGGAGTCCGGGATCATGACCTGAGCCGAAGGCAGAGGCTTTAACCCACTGAGCCACCCAGGCGCCCCTTGTTCTTGCTTTAAAAAGGAGCACCAACTTATTTTTCTTTCTTTTTTTTAAGGTTTTATTTCAAAAAATGTTTTTAGAGCATGTGTGCTCACACATGCACATGAATCGGTGGGGGAGGGGGGTGGCAGAAGGAAAGGAAGAGTGTGAATCTTAAGCGAGCTCCACACCAGCCCAGCACAGATCCTGATGTGGGGCTCCATCTCATGACACTGAATCATGAGCTGAGCCAAAATCAAGAGTCCACACCACACTTAACCAACTAAGCCACCTAGGCGCCTCCTCTTCTGTTCTTATCATGGGACTCCCACTCACTTTTTTAGATGCTCCATGTTTACCCAAAGGATTTGCCTCACCCAGGATCTATCCCCCTACCCTTGGCAGTACTTTTCTCTGGTGTTAAGGAACTCCATCTATGAAAATGCCCTGCGGGCTCCAGAAGGCAGTTCAAGGCTTTTGACCTTCCAGATCCCACAGAGGATGAACTCTTCCAGAAGTCCCCATCTGCATATTTTGTAGGCATACCTCTTCACCCTTCACATTTTTCAGTGAGCTGCTATTAAATCAGGTGGGAAGACATGTGGCTCTGTGTTCTTTCTCTCCGTTTTTCCCTCCCTCCTTCTCCTCTTTTTTTCTCCAAGGAGAGCGAACTTTTTTTCTTAAAGATTTCTATTTATTTGAGAGAGAATGAGAGAGGAGAGCATGCATGAGTGGAAGGAGGGGCAGAGGGAGAGGGAAAAGCAGATTCCCCACTGAGCAGGGAGTCTGATGTGGGGCTCAGGCCCAAGACCCAGAGATCACCACCTGAGTAGAAGTCAGCCGCTTAACGACTAAGTCACCCAGGCACCCTGAGATAACTTATTTTTTTAATTACTCCTGGATGAGGTGAGGGGCCTTGTGCTCCCAACAGCTATTCACAAGGGAGCCCTGATAACATACCACATTTCACTTTGCTCACTGATCTCACTCCTACATCAAGGACTTCCAGGTTGGGTAGGGGGGAGGAATTTAACCACATGTCAAGAGTGTCTCATAGAACCTGGCAACCAAGATGGTGGCCTCTTCCACCATCGGTTCTCAATCTTTCTTGGTCATATGCAGGACTCATCTGAGAGGTGTTTGAGGAAGAATGAGCTTGGGGAAACATTCCATTGGTGCCTCTCTACTTCTTGATTCTAGGCTTCCCCATAACTTAGATGTTTCTATTGTAACCCTACTTCTACCACTTAGATTGAGCCTGTAAAGGAGAAAGCAAGGACAAATAACTCTGATGTTCAATTAATATTTTTTCTTTCTTTCCTTATCTCATAGGGACTGGAAAGAGTGGTCTTTGTTTTTTTTTCTTCCTCTATAGAAAGGACTTTCCCAACATCATAGTCTCCTTCCTGAAGGTCATTAAACTTCCTGGCTCAGGCTTAACAGTGGAAGGGCATCCTCACATTATGGGAAAAAATCCTGTGATTTGAGCTGCCCTGGTATGGCTGGGAGTCCAAGATGACTAGAGACTTGAGATCACAGAAAATAAAAATACTCTGGTTTGATAACCCCAAAATATTATATCCATTATACATGACACAATGTTCTGGATTCATCTAGAAGAAACTCTGTTCCTACAATTAAACATTCTAAAAATAATAGATAATATCTATTGACCGCTTATGATGTACTAGGCATTTTTATAAGATATGTATTTAGTCCACATATAATCCTATGATGGAGGTACTATTATTACTCCCATTTAATACACAAGGAACTAAGGCCTGGATAAGGGGTAAGGTATTTTCCAAATGCACATGTTTAGGCAGGAATTACTGTTTGATCCTGTCTGATTGTGCATCCCAGCCTCTTTCAGGCCCTCCCCATCCCCTGGCCTCTTTCTTCATCCTGCTCTTAAGCCTACTGCCCAAGTCTGTCTTCCCTTTGAAGACTCTGCATTCTTTGTGCCAACCAAACAATTCATCATTCCACGTATAGCCCATCTCATTTTCCCTCTTCTGCATTGTTGTTCATCCTGGCCCCTTTGCCTGGGATGCCCTCTCCCCATCATTCACTATGGTCCAGGGCTCTGCCTAATGACCTCGCCACCCCAAAACTTCTCTGATCCCCATGACTAGAAGGAAACTGTCTTCTGCATTCCTTTCATTTTTCTGTTTACCTTGTCTCTATTTCAACACAGAATTAGCCACGTATTATTTCTTTCCTTTTTTTTTAAGGATTTTATGTATTTATTTGGAGGAGAGAGAACAAGAGAGATAAAGAGAGAGAGCATGAGCAGGGGGAGGCACAGAAGGAGAGGGAGAAGCAGGTTCCTTGCTGAGCAGAGAACTTGATGTGGGGCTCGATCCCAGGACCCTGGGATTAGGACCTGAGCTGAAGGCAGATGCTTACCGACTGAGCCACCCAGGTGTCCCCTAGCCATATGTTATTTCAAGAGTCACCTCAGGATTTTTGCATCTCCATCACTGCTGTTCCTCACTAGCAGCCAGCACAGACACTGGATGAGTGGGTGGAAGACCCTTGTTTGCCCACAGCAGACCATCCCTAAAGCAGAGCTCAGCCAAAGGACAGTGTTGGATCCAGAGCTGGGATTAACATGATTAAACAAGATTCTGGGAATGACCTCTTTCATATCAGCCTGTGACTCAGCTGTGGAAATTCAGTATAAGAGTCATTAAAAGGGGAAAAAAAAGGAAGAGTCGGTAAAAGGATGCAAGGAGCTTGTGTCTACGTGGCCTTCTGTTCCAAAGGCTGACCTTGGACTAGGCAAACCTCCTGCCTATTGCCCTGTCCAGCGATTACTTATTCTTTTTTAAGTTCCAACTAATCCCTCGCCTGTCCCCAGTGTTCCATCTGAAGAAAGTGCCAAACACATTTTTTTTTTTCTCGTACCAGTTTCTCTCTCAGAGAAACTGTCCCATATTTGGAGCTCTTTGAACATCTATATAGGAGTAGGTCGTACAAGCTGGTCTATGAGGTCACGTGTGCCTGGTTAGCGTACCTCAGGAGGGAGGCCGACCTGGTGACCAGAAAGCATTTGATTCTTAGGAAGCATGAAGAATGACCACTGCTCAGGGCCAGCTGGTAGGGATTTGCGTGAAGATTGCATGTTGTCTTGGGTGGCCCTAGACTTGCTTTGTCTTTGAATATGAACCCCTTCTCCCACTATCTGGGTCAGGGTCACTTTTCCCTTGTGCTCTAGCATCATTTCCAAATAGCTCTGTGTATCTTCAAATCCATGTGTTCCGACCACCCTCTCTCATGGGGAAAAGAAACACAGGAGCACTAGAGGGACCCTGGTGTAATTCTTTGGTTTCTCTGGAATCTTGGAGTCTGAATTACAAAGTCACATGGATGGGATGCACTATTCACTTGTTAGAGGGAGGGAAGGTATCTTTTGAGCAATTTAAGATTCTCCCAGGTGGTCAGAAACCAGTTTCAATGACCCTTTAAGCATTCTTAGAGAAGGTCATCTCTTTTGGGCTCTGGAATACAGTGATTGAGTGCAGTTCACTGGACCAGAGTTAGACCTTGGGGCAATGTTTCGGCTCCAATGAGTGTTCGCTGTCTGTCCTTAAGCAAGTCTTTCCTTCATTTGGAATTTAGATCTCCTCACCCAAGCAAGGAGTAAGTTGAATCACATGCCCTTAAAAGGCTATTTCCTGCTTTGGGGTGTGTGCGCGTGTGTATGCATGCGCGAGCATTGAGAGTCAACTTATTTGGCTATTGGATGCTGAAAGAAAAACCTCTGATAGTTTCATCACAAAGCCATCTTTTCTCTTATTCCAGCCAAAGAAATAGAAACTAGTTTGCCAAATGAGGTTATATTTTCAATATATGATAGGATGTATAAATGTTGACATAGCCGAGCTCATTAAAAAGTATCTTAAACTTATCATCAATTAGTCTTGAGAAGAGTAAACACAAATGCAATTAAAAAAAAATTATTTATTTATTTGACAGAGAGAGAGATCACAAGTAGGCAGAGAGGCAGGGGTGGAGGGGAAGCAGTATCCCTGCTGAGCAGAGAGCTCGATTCAGGGCTCAATTCCAGGACCCTGAGACCAGGACCCGAGCTGAAGGCAGAGGCTTAACCCACTGAGCCACCCAGGCGCCCCAACACAAAAGCAATTAATTTATTATTTATTACTTTAACACCAGTTAGACGAATGGAAAGTCTCCACGCAAATGGCAGTATTCATTACACAAAGAACAATTTGGAAACGAAGGGGTAACACAGGCAGGGAGCAGTTTTTGCATGCGGGTAACCAAGGGGAGGCTGCATGCTGGCACGAACTGTCGCTGTTCTAAATATGCCTTCAACAAGTTTCCTCTCTGTTTCAGGATTGAACTGTTTAGTTTTATATCTAAACATACTATATCTAAATATACTAACATATATAAAAGATTAGTGGGGAAACAACTGAACACTGTGGTTAAGATTCCATATGTTAATTATTTAATTGGATGACAACAGAACACTGATTCACTGGAAAATCACAATACACACTGATATTTACAAAAGCTGTTTCAGTTAAATTTAAATTAAAGGGGGATGGTACGTATTAGGATAAAAAGGGGGAAAAAAAGGTCTGAATTCTTTTGTCAGACACAGTTGGTGCCCGGTTCTACTTTTAATGAATCTTTTCATTAGGAGAAGATCCTGGATGGGGGTAATAAATAAAAGCACAGCGATAGTTGTAAAAAAGCAGATAACCCCAAATACTTGCTTGCTTGGCTGTAAAATGCATTAAGTAATTTTTTAAACACAGAATTTGCAAACCATTTGGCTTAAGCTAATATTAAAGTGAGTTTGCATTTTTGGAGGTACAGTGATTGGGCTGAAGGTGAGTGTGCTGGGTGGTGATGGAAGAAAACGTTCCTTGAAGCTTCACTCTTGGGTAGACAAACCAGCGATTAATTAAAAAACAACCCAATAACCCTTTCTCTAGAGAAAAGCAGGAGTTATCCCAGTGTGGATGGATCAGTCCCAAACCACGTACCATTTGTAGTCTCTGCTTCAAAAGGACCAAGGAAGAACTGAAGACATATATACACAATCACCACACATGTATAATAATATAAATGTTATGCAGCCTTGGGCCGTGCTGCTTGACAACATGCAGGGAAGACTGTCAACACTTCTGAGGAGGCTAAGGGGGCGGTTGTCATTGAAATTCTGAGGTTAAATTTTCCTCATTTTAACCCAGGACGGGGGTTCCTTTTTTTTAATGGCCCCAGAAGACAGGCTGCACCGTGAAGAGTTCAGGGGTCTCTGGTCCAAAAAACAGGAATGCAAAAGTGGGAGTGTTTCTTCACAGTAAGTTATAGTGGGTGGGGTTTCCCTAATCCAAACTGTCCAATATCACTTATTCATTTTTATCACTGGTAGAGTTAAAAAGCACTTTCACCAACTGTGACCTCCGTGGGTTCTCCCAAGAGTCCTGTAAGGTAGATAGTACAGGTGTTCTCATCATCCTTGTTTCACTGACCCAAAACCTAGAAGGAGAGAGAGTAAGCAGCCAGGTCACATGAGGCTTGAGTCCAGGCCTTTCCTTTCCAAGTGCAGCTCATTTCCTTTGTTCTCAAAAGAGATTTGTCCTAGAAAGTGATCCAGACTTAGTCACATGGATTGTGTCCATCGCCAGGGAGAAGCTCTACCTCTTTCTCTGTCCCCTTCCTCCCTGACCTTACAACCCCCGGAAATCCTTTATGCTAAGGTGTCAGGGACTGGGTGTGTTCCTCATTTCAGGACTGCCTGTGTTCACCCAAAAGAATGATGAGCTTGCAAGCATCCGTGGAAAAGAGATTTTTCTGGTCCTTTCCTTTGAAATTGCACCATTGTAGATAACCAATGGCCTGATTATGAGAAAATTTTCCTCGCAGCCAGAATCTTAGAGAATATCTTTAGGGAGGTAGTAGGAGCTGAGTGGGAAAGTTCAATGGGATGGCATGAACCCTCTTATCATGAGGCTATAAACCGCACACTCTGACGAACTTACCCTTGCCTTTCCCGTCATGTCTAAGTGGCTTATTCTATAGGATTTGACGTTGCTGCCCTGATGAGCTACAGAATGCGGGTAGCGCGATGGAGAGTGAGTGCAGCTAACCATGTGAGTTCCCTGACTGGTGATTCCGATAGCTTCTGCCATTTTGTCTTGTTATTTAATTTTTGCCCACAGTAGGTAACTGGTAAATGTCAGCTCCCGGTGGCCTTGTCCGATCTCCTTGGTGCGGCCAGCACACAGTGGGTGTTTAGTTCACCTCAGCTGCGGTTACCCGCCTCGAGTCCCACCGTCCGTCAGGACTAAGCGGCCTCCAGCCCCTTGAGGGCCATGAAGGGTGGTACACAGTCGTCGTGAACTTGGCTCCCAGGGGATGACGCACGGAGTTCCGGCTGTCGGGCCTTCAGCCCGCGGGCTACTTCAGCCTGATACAGTCCACCTCTTCGGTGGCGGGCACGCCGCTGGTTTTGAGGTCCAGGTCGGCGCTGGACTTGCTCCCGTGGTGCGAGGGCCGCCAGTGCAGCAGCATCATCTTCTTGAAGTACTTCATGGTGTTGTTCTTGACTGTCACGAAGCACACGGTGTTGATCATGCTGTTGCTCATGGCGATGCACTCGACCACGTAGAAGGCCGTGAGGTAGTGCTTCTCCTTGACGAACACGGCGGGGAAGAAGTCGCGCACGATGGTGAAGCCGTAGAAGGGCGCCCAGCACAGCACGTACGCCGTGAGCACGCACACGAGCACCAGCACCGTCTTCCGGCGGCAGCGCAGCCGCTTCCGGATCTGCTCCGTCTGGAAGCCCGGCACCGCCTTGAACCACAGCTCGCGGGAGACCCGGGCGTAGCACAGGGCCATGGTCACCACGGGGCCCACGAACTCCACGCCGAAGATGAACAGGAAGTACGACTTGTAGTAGAGCTGCTGGTCCACCGGCCAGATCTGGCCGCAGAAGATCTTCTCCTGGCTTTTCACGATGAACAGGACCGTCTCCGTGGTGAAGTAGGCCGACGGGATGGCGATGAGGATGGACACCACCCAGACCAAAGCGATCAAGAAGGAGGCCGTTTGATAGTTCATCCGTGGCTTCAAGGGGTGCACGATGGCGAGATATCTGGGGGGGGGGGGGGGCGGGGAGAGCAGGGGCGGAAAGCCATCAGTAATAAGGAGGCATGCTGGGAAACATCCGTCTGGAGGTTAGCCCAAACACGCCGCCAAAACAGACAGAATGGCACAACGAGTCCCCGTGTAATTATCCAGTTTCGATAGGGTTTGTCTTATTTTAGCAACATCCTTTGGCATTTGTAGTAGTGCCGGGGTTTAGTGGAAACAGCACAGGCTTTGGTCAGAAAGGTGGAACAGATCCCAGCACACACCCCCCGCCGCGCAACCCCCCCCCCCCCCCCCCCCCCCCCCCCCCCCCCCCGGGCCAAACTCCATTGGCTCAGCGTTTCTGAGATTTGTTTCTTCAAGTGCAACATGGGATAAAGTGACACCTACCTTGCGGGGCTGCTGTAAATATTAAATATGATAATGTTTGTAAGATGCTTCGCAGGTAGTAGGTATTCAATGAATATAGGTGGAATTTTACTGTTAGTCCTATGGATGCCAACTTGACCTTCTGTCTTGCCATTCTGCCCAAGAACCTCATGCTTTCAGAACTCTTCATTCCAAATGCCTCATGGGTAAGAGGGGAAAGAAGGGCTCTGGAGTTCAGAGAGAGAGATGGGGGTCTTCTCAGGGCAGTGGACTAGGGCTTCCCCCCCCACCCCGCTCCCCTCCCACCCCAGGTGTCACCCTGCCTTACAAAGCAGGAAGGAGAGTAGGGGCTGGGCTGGGCGTGGAATCTAAGGAATCTATCTAAGGAGAGAAGGAAATGACCAACCTCACTGAGTGCAAGGACCAGAATGCCAGCTCCTGATACCAAACTTTTACAACTACCTCCCCAGGCTGTCTCAAGCTCAGATGAGGTGTGTGATGTTGCCTTGACATCTTAAAGCAGCACATAGCACGAGGCTTTATCCTGATCTTTCCAGTGAGCCTGGGAAAGAGGTTGGAGGCCTTTGGGGGCTCTGCATGGGAAGGCAGTCAATATAGGCTGTTATGGAGCAAGGCTTCACTGTAGGCAGCTGATGCTTATTCCTGCTGAGGAACCCCTGGAGCAGATGTGGGGCACCCCGGGGTGGGGGATCCAGGATATTGTTTCACCAACCAGCAGAGTCATTGGTAAGGGAGCCAGAGAAAGCCTTCAAGCAAAGAAAGGCAGGTGTTGGTTGGCAAGTGGGAATGGACAGGTGTGCACCGAAGTATTAGTAACGGGATACAAGAGGTACATCAATTACACCCGCTATGATCTGGTAATTGCACGACAGGTTGCTGGTCCTACTGTGTGCCCAACCTATGTAGATGGAGACAAAGTAGAAGACGACACAGTCCTTGACCTCAGAGGGTTTCTTTTCCACCCCAGACTTAGAATAACCAAGCGATAGGTTAAGAATAACTTGAAGGAAGACACGATCATTATGCTAGTGACGTAGTCTGGGAATGCTTCAGGAAGATACTGAGATTCTGGCCACCTCCTATTCACTCCCCGGATGAAGGCAAGATTCTCCCGACCTACACAGTACAAGATGGTGAACACACAACACCTGACACTGGGTGGACAAGATCAACAGCAGTTAACTAGTCACATATACTCACAGCCCAGGGAGAGGGATGGTGCCTACCCTGCAGGGTCACGTGGGAGTTGCATCCAGGGATAGAAGGAACCAACAGGGGCTGTGGGCAGCAGGCTTTATAGTGATGAGGATGAAGTGACCCTCGACTCCCATGGGAGGATGCGACTGGCTTGTCTGAATAATTCTGCCAGCTGACAGTGAGGGGAAACCCATCAGATTGAGGATCGGGGGTGCAGTTGGTCTAGCAGAGAGAGGAATAGCAGGTTAGGAGTCTTTCCTGCTGGGTGGAGGGGGGTATCTGGCAAGAACAGAGGACCTGATGGCTGGAGACCTTGGAGGCTCTGTGGGGCTCGAAGATGTCAAGGCAGCACATGGAATTTCAGGCTTTACAACAGGAAAGCCTAATAAATAGCACTCAGGTTCTAAATCAATTGAAAAATACAGCAAAATTATAAGAAAGATGGATGGCCAAACTTTCACTTTCACTGTGATGACACTGGTATTGGATGGTGAGCACTGGGACTACTTTATACTCAGATAAGCTTACAAACCCTGATACAGGTGGGTGGGAGAGACACAGGCCTCCCTGGGCACTTCAGTTTACTCCTTGATAAAACATGCCTGTCTTGCTATATAGAAATATCAGTTGGGTGGCTCAGTGGCTTAAGCCTCTGCCCTGGGCTCAGGTCATGATCTCAGGGTCCTGGGATTGAGCCCTGCATTGGGCTCTCTGCTCAGCGGGGAGCCTGCTTCTCCCTCTCTCTCTGCCTACCTCTCTGCCTGCTTGTGATCTCTCTCTCCGTCAAATAAATAAATAAAATCTTAAAAAAAAAATTTTTTTTTAAAGGGGCACCTGGGTGGCTCAGTGGGTTAAAGCCTCTGCCTTCAACTCAGGTCATGCTCCCAGGGTCCTGGGATCAAGCCCCACATCAGGCTCTCTGCTCAGCAGGGAGCCTGCTTCTCCCTCTCTCTGCCTGCCTCTCTGCCTACTTGTGATCTCTGTCTGTCAAATAAAAAAATAAAATCTTAAAAAAAAAAAAGAAAGAAATTATCAGAAGGGCTATCTACTAGCGTTTCTGGGATGCCACAGCCAGAAGAAGAGTGAGGTTCATGTGCAGAGGACCTGGTTTCCTAGAGACCTCTTGTACAGACCCTAGGAGAGTGCGGATCTCAGGACACACACGTCCAAGTAGACAGATGGTAACAAAGACCTTGCAGATGTCCCTCTTGCCAATGGACAAGTCATGGAAAATGATCAGTTTTAGCGAAGACCTATAGCTTCCAACATGCTTTATGTCTGTTCACCTTCTCTGAACCTGACAAACTGGAGAGGTTGTCAGCGAAGATATTACTACGTCCATCTCACAGATGAAGATATGTAAGTCCCAGGAGGATAAGGGATTTATCCAAGTGCACAGCTTGGAACCCAGATGTTCTGAGTAACTCCTAGGCCATTGTTCTTTCTTTTCTGATTTATTTGATGGCAACTCTGCATTTTGGGACATCTTTTTAATGAAGAAGATGTTATGGGATGAGAAAATATCAGAATTTAAGAGTTGATGACCAAATAGGTAGGAATGTAGGAATTCTCTCTGGCATTGGTTATTGAGATACTTTTCATGCTGAAACTACATGGCGGTGGGGGGTGGGCAGAGGAAAAGAGAGAAAGAGAGTGTGTGTGTGTCCTAAATTAGCTCTGCTTCGAGAGTCCTCTTGGTTAGCTGTACAGGATTTCCAGAACAGTCCTCACCTTTGCATCTCAGGCTCTGCTTCCCATGCTCCAGTGGTCAGCTACATGCAAAAGAATGAAACCAGACCACTTTCTTACACCATACACACAAGTAAATTTAAAATGGATTAAAGACCTAAATGTGAGACCTGAAGCCATAAAAATCCTAGAAGAGAGAACAGGCAGTAATCTCTCTGACCTCGGCCGCAGCAACATTTTTCTAGATCTGTCTCCTGAGGCAAGGGAAACAAAAGCAAAAATGAACTACTGGGACTACATCTAAATAAAAAGCATCTCACAGCAAAGGAAACAGTCAACAGAACTAAAAAGTATCCTCTGGAATGGGAGAAGGTATTTGCAAATGACATATCCAATGAAGGGTTAGTATTCAAAACATATAGAGAACTTATCCAACTCAACACCCAAAAAACAAATAATCCAAAGAAAAAATGGGCAGAAGACATGAGCAGACATTTCTCCAAAGAAGACATACAGATGGGCAACAGACATGCTCAGCATCACTCCTCATCAGGGAAATGCAAAGCAAAACTACAGTGAGATAATCACCTCCTACCTGTCAGAATGGCTAAAATAAAAAACACAAGAAACAACAGGTGTTGGTGAAGACGTGGAGAAAAAGGAACTTTATGTGCTGTTGGTAAAAATGTAAGCTGGTTCAGCTGCTGTGAAGAACAGTTTGGAGGCTCCTCAAAAAGTTAAAAGTAGAAACTATCCTCTGATCCAGCCATCCCACTGCTGGGTATTTACCCAAAGAAACACTAGTTCAAAGGGATACATGCACCCCTGTATTTATAGCAGCCTTATTTACAATAGCCAAATGGTGGAAACAGCCCAAGTGTCTATCATTTGATGAATGGATGAAGAAGATGTGGTCTATATATATGTTAGCATATATTGTACACACACACACACACACACACACTGGAATATTACTCAGCCATAAAAAAGAATAAAATCTTGCCATTTGCAACAACACGGATAGAGCTAGAGAGTATAATGCTAAGCGAAATAAGTCAGTCACAGAAAGACAAATACCATATGATTTCACTATATGTGGAATTTAAGAAACAAACAGATGATTGAAGGGGAAAAAACAGAGAGAGGATCAAACTGAGAAACAGTTTTACAACGAAGAACAAACTGGTGGCTACCGGAGGGGAGGAGGGTGAGGGGATGGGAGGAACAGATCACGGGGATTAGGGAGTGTTCTTGTGATGAGTGCCAGGTGTTGAATGGGACTGTTCAATCACTACTGTTAGACTGTGTGTTAACTAACTGGAATTCAGATAAAAACTTAAAAAAAAAAAAAGGACCGATGGTAATGTTTCCAGCCTGGGTGATCAGAGGACTGGAGCCAGAAAGCTGGTTTGGGGTGAAAAAGGAACCACTCTTTGTGATGTAACTGGATGGTTGCTTTCTGAGAAACTCCTATGTTGCCCCAAACCCACAACATGATAAAGACAAACGTTTCAGTGGGACAAAGGGGATGAGAACAGCATAACTCTCCCCAAGTGAGCATCAGAATCCCTCAGGGAGTTGAATAAAAACGCAGATTCCTGGGACGGAGCTCAAGGGATTCTCTTTCAGGAGGGGTGGGGTGGCACCAGATCTGACTTTGTATCATTTGCCCGGGACAATTTTGTACCTTTGGTTGACACTTACCTTTTGTAAACACTGGTTTGAGGGCTGGAGAGCCTCAGAGCTGTAATAACAAAATGGTTTCTCCTGCAGGAATTATGTTACGCAAAGAAAATGGCTCTTCTACTTCTGTGTATATTTCATTATGGAAAATAATCAATTTGTTGATTAAAAAGAATGACAAACCTAAGTAGCACCGAGAACAAGGAAAAAACTGACGAGTTCAAAGGAGACCAAAAAGAAAAAAGATGTTTACCCAGAGAATGTTTCAGCAATTTTCCCCCACCCCCAAAACAGAGCTACTGGTGGTCTGACACTAGCCTATAGCTGTTTACATAATTAAAACATTTGTAAGATTTGTCCTAAGTTGCTACTAGAAATTTTATAAATTTTATAAATTTATAATAGAGCAAGGACTTCCAGAACATCTCATGCAAATGTATGCAAATGAGTCCATGGATGTATGCAAGAAAACAAAAGGAAGGATGTCCTTCCCTTTTTCCTACAAATAGGCCATTACCTTATTTTAAAATTGGCTCTACAACAAAGCCGCCAGGAACCAGGGTACATTACTATAGGATTCCGTTTTTCATGAAGTTAAAGAACAGGCAAAACTAAACTGTGCTGAGTGAAATCAGACAGCTGGGGTGGGAGGACTGTCTGGTACAGGGCATAAGGGAGTCAGGAATGTTCTTGATCTTGGTTTGGGGAAGGGTGGTAGGAAAAACTTCGGCTGTGTTCTCTCGACCGGAAGTTGCCCTGGTGAAGTCAGTCTTCCGTGCCTTCTGAGTAGCCAGTGGCCCAACCCTTCTGCTTTTGCTTTTGTGGCCAGTCTGCGGCAAAAGTGGTATCTGCAGGCGTGGCCCAGAGCTGGGGTGCTTGGGCGTCCCGCTCTAGTTTGGGGGGAATCTGAGCCACAAGTGGAGACACCGGGTCTCTTCTTCCCCTGGATAGAGGAGCAGGCAGGCAGACCAGCAGCAGGGCCAACCTGTTAGAGCGGAAGTGAGGAAAGGGGCAGCCTGCCCCCCCATCTGTGCCCTGCCCCCCCCCACCGGCCCACATCATCCTCACCTGTCGATAGCTATGGCCAGCAAGGCATTGGTGGAGACATAGAGAGAGACGGTCCGCAGGTAGTTGATGGAGGCACAGAGCACGTGGCCATGCTCCCAGGACAGCTGGCGCACCACATAGTAGTCCATCTCAAAGGGGCAGCAGATGATGGCCACCAGGAAGTCGGAGATGGCCAGGTTGGCGATGAGCAGGTTGGTGAGGTTACGCAGCTTCTTATAGCGGGCGAGGGCAGCGATAAAGACGAAGTTGCCCACACCGCAGACCAGCATGATGCCCGCCAGTGCCACGCCGATGACGATCTTGGCAGCGAAGAAAGTCCGGGTCTTGGTCATGTCCTCATCCTCATCCAGAGGGAGGTCATAATCACCGTAGCTGAAGTTGAAGGGGAAGGGGGAGGTGGAGTCTTGAGTCAGATTGAAGTTGGGGGCAAAGCTAGTGTTTCCATGCTGGGCTGCCATGGCGGAGATCGCAGGTGGAGTGATGTGTGAGTCTCAGTGAGTTGAGCTGGGGTGTCACGACTCACCCAGCCTAGCACACTGTCCGTATCCCTGAGGAGAGTCAAAATGTCATCCTGGACCCTGAAAGGAGACACAACTAGTGGGCACCCTACAGGAGAACGCCTGGTAGTATGCTACCAGAGTTCCCCAAGTAGAGGCTGACCAGACCCAGGGACTCCCCTCAGACAGAACTAGCTGGGGTACATGGGAGGGGAGACATGAGATTTGGAAATTGGGAAATCTTCCACGGGCTGACAGGCAGTACTGGGCACAGAATGTTTCTCCGAAGACATCCAACAACAACCTGCATCTTTGCCCTTTTCCCAGAGGCCAGCACCAGTGTGACTGCCCAGTCACACTCCCTTTCCCACCATCAGCTCCCACAGGGTCTTCACAAAGTTTCCCAAGCTGTCCAGGCAGCTGCCCCAGGATTCCGCAGCAGTCACAAAGTTGTGCCATCTGTTGGTTAAGGACAATGAAGCCGGAGGACAGGAATACACACAGCAGGGTCTTTCCTCCAAAGCAGGGCACTGCTCCCTATGTCCTGGCCAAACCATGGACGCGGAAATCACCAAATCCATTTTCACATGAACAGGCTGAGTCATCTTGGGCTAGTGATTTACACTGTCTGAGTCCTGATCTTCCCATAAACCAAATTCCTGCTGCCTAGCCCAGGGCCTGGCACTCAGTAGGGGCGGCACGGGAGTCTGTGGGATGTATGAATGGGGATCCGCCCAGGATTCTGTAGATGAAGGGGACTGAGGATGGGAGGGAATTCTGTTTCCTCTGTGCTTTGGGAACCAGATCTAAAAAGAAATGCTTTGTCTGCTTCTCCTCCCTGCTCCCACTCTTCTGATCAGCTCCCTGTCCCCTTTACCAGACCGCCAACCCAGTTCCCGACCAGGATCAACCCTGAGAGGCACCATATCTGGTCACCAAGGTCTCCGGCATCTGAAAGTGGTGGCTCCTCCACTTGAACCGAAAAGAGCACCCAAAAATGGAGGTTGGGGGTGGGGAGAAGGTGGTGTCAGTGAGGACCCAGGAGGACCCGAGGATTGAAATGTCTTTCATTGCCTGAGTTCTTTATGTTCTCGGTACCTCAAGATGCCCACGGCAAAGGAAAATAAAGTCTCTGAAGTACTAAGCCCTCAGGAGAGGGGCCACAATGGGGTGCAAGGCGTCTGAGGGCCTCAGAACCACTTTGCTCAGATTCCCAAACCCAAAGAATGAGGACCCCAGCCATCAAACTGTGATCTGCCTCTTCCCGCTTAACACAACTGGAAACGACCCCAAGCGTGGGGGCCACCGGATGCTGGTAGCAAGAAGTGGACCAAACTGGACAGTGGATTTGGCTCGGCCCTGTCAGAGGAGGGGGAGAGCGAGGGATGGGAACCATAGCGGCAGGGACAACAGTGGCAGGGTGGCCGGGCCACTCCGACCTGCGGCACGTCCGCCGGCTGCGTACCCGAGGGAAGGACCTTCGACAGATGGGGTGCCAGCGGCGCCAGCGGCCAGGAGTGTCCTCCGTCCGGGTGGCTTCTCCCTCTCCTGCGAAACCCCAGTCCCTCCAGACAGCTCTCAGCCCGAGACGGTGAAGCGGGACTCGCGTCCTCCCGCCTTCCGCGCTCCGCGGCTCTCCAGTCCCCGACCCTGGAGGAGAGGACGTGAGCCCGGGTGGCTCAGGTCCCGGCCCCATTTTTCGCGGGATGCACTCCCCGTCCCAGATCCATCCGCTCCGGGAGCAGTCTCCCTCCCCTGCCCTCCCTTACTCACCCCCCGCGCGACCGCGCGGTCCCGGAGGCGCCGCCCAACAAGGGCGGGAATCGAGTCAGAAATTGAGGCTCGAAAAATGAAGCATGCGAGGCCTCCGGATGAAAAGAAAACTGGGGGGTAGGGGCAGGACCCGGTGAGCAGGAATTCTCCCGGAGAGGCTTCCCTTTTCAGTCTCTCTTTCAAGAAGATGCCCCCCTCCCCGCCCATGCCCTCCCCTGCAGTTTGGCGTTCGCCCGCCCACCCTGCACCCGCCGGCCCGGCCCCCTCCGCCCGCGGCCGCGCGCCCCAATCTCGGCTTCCCGTCGCCCGGTCCTGGCGGGCCCGTGGTGGGTGGTGGACTCTCCCGGCAGGAACTCTTCCACTTGGAGCCAGCCCAAGCACCTCCCGAAAGCTGCGGGAGGCCAAGGCACCAGAATCCCTCCGAGAAAAAAGTGGGCGTCTGCGCCCCCAGGCCGGGCGAAGCCCCCCACCGCACCAAGGGAGACCCGGTATACAGCTCAGTACTTACCTGCCTGGGCGCCTCCTCCCGGGTCGCTCGGCTGCCCTGGCCGCTCGGTTTGGTCCTGGGGGAACCCAACTTGTGCGTGCAGTAGCGCTGCGTACGGGGTGTCCTTTCTTCCTTGCTCCAGCGCGCTTCCCCCGCGCGTCGCGGTCTCTGTCTTCCCGCTGGAGTTGGCGCTCCGCCCCTGCTGTTCAGCACGGCGCCTCGGACCCGGCCCGGTGCGCCCCGCCCCGCGCTCGACTCCGCCCTGGGGTACCCAGCCGGCCTCCCTCCGCACAGCGGCGCAGGGTGGGCGCTGCGCTTCTGCACCTGGTGTGCCCCCCCGCACGGGGCGCGCGGAGTTCTGGTTGCGTTGGCACGGATATCCAGTCCGCCGGGTTGGCCGTTCGCAGGGGCTCCTGCGTCCTCGCACCCGAGTATGAATGGGACTTAAGCAGCTGGGGTTAGAGGGTGCGGATTTCGAGGAACCGGTAAGGCCCCCAGTGCCCCGCTGAGGCGCCTCGCGGGGGTCACCAAGCCGAGTGTCCAGCCTTTGGCAAGAGCCCCGTGCTAGCGTCCGCTCCCGCAAAGGGCTACTCGTTCAGGAGTAGGCTGGGGTACATTCCGTGTGCCCCAGAGCTGGTGCTGGGGAGAATTTGGGGGTGCAGAGTGGGCCTTTTGGGGTGGGGGGTGGTGGAGACGGAGGCCCTCGGGGAAGCTGGGAATTCCAGGCAGGTTGCCCTGCTGAAATCGCCTACCCTGAGGTCCTCACCGGAACCCTGAGATAACCCTACCCACCACTGCCCGAGTCCTTGGCCTTTCAAAGACCATCATCCCACTTCCCATCCCACATCCCATCCCGCCTGTCTGTCTGGAGCCGTGTTTCCAGAAGCCTCCACCTTGCTCCCGCCAGGCTCTGATTTTAGGCAGTTTCTACTGCCTCTCTGGTCCTTGGTTTTCTTACACAGATTGGGCAGATTCTTTTTTCGGATTGGAAAGGAAGAAATAAAATGCTCTGTGTTGCAGATGGCATGATGTCTAGGAAATCCCAAGAAACTGACCAAAAAAAAAAAAAATTCTTCTAATTTATAAATGATTATAACAAAGTTTAAGGATACAAGATTAATATACAAAAGTCAAATGTTTTGGGGCGCATGTGTGGCTCAGTTGGTTAAATGACCAACTTTTGACTTTGGCTCAGATCATGATCTCAGGGTTGAGAGATCCAGCCTCCATGGGGTTGGGTGGGGAGCCTTCTTAAGATTCTCTCCCTTTCACCCTGCCCCTCCCCAACCTCTCTTCTCATTCCCCCAAGAAGTCAACTGCTTTCCTAGATACCAGGAATGAACAAGTGGAACTTGAAATTTAGAATATAATACTATTTACATCAGTAGCCCCCACAATAAAATGCTTAGGTATAAATCTAGCAAAATATGTATAATGTCCATATGAGGAAAACTACAAAACCTTAATGACAGAAATCAAAGAAGAATTAAATAAATGGAGAGAAATTTCATGTTCACCAATAGGAAGGCTCAATCTTGTCAAGATGTCCGTTTTCGGCCGAGCTGCCGGTTGAAGCCTAAGCTGTGCAAGTTAATGATAAAGGGGGTATAGGAACAGGTCAAAAAAGACTAGGACCCAGCGCCTTGCTGCTGCCTGCCCACCCCTCGTCTCCTGGCACCAAGGCTGCTGGAGCCCAGGGCGTGTTTTCCTTGTCCCCGCCACTTTCCTGTCCCTGGCCCAACATGATACTGACCAAAGCCCAGTACGAGGGGATAGCCCAGTGCCTAGTCTGTGCCGCCTACCAGGCAGAGCCTGAGGAAGCTGAAGCAGAGGTTCCCCAGTCAATCGCAGGCCACTCTGCTGAGCATCTTCTCCCAGGAGTACCAGAAACATATTAAAAGAAACCATGTCAAACATCATACTTCAGAAGCGATTGAAAGTTATTATCAGAGGTACCTGAATGGAGTGGGGAGAAATGGAGCAGCCCCAGTGCTCCTGGAGCTGGCCAATGAGGTGGATTATGCACCCTCATTAATGGCTCGGATTATACTGGAGAGGTTTCTACAAGAGCATGAGGAAACTCCACCTTCCAAGTCTGTTATATAAACAGTATGCTACGGGACCCTTCTCAGATTCCAGATGGAGTTCTAGCAAATCAGGTCTATCAGTGCATCGTGAACGACTGCTGTTATGGACCACTGGTGGACTGCATCAAACATGCCATTGGTCATGAGCATGAAGTCCTGCTAAGAGACATGGTTCTGGAGAAAAACCTGTCCTTCCTAGATGAAGATCAGCTCCGTGCAAAGGGTTATGCCAAAACGCCAGACTTTATTTTACAAGTTCCAGTTGCTGTAGAAGGGCACATAATTCACTGGATTGAAAGCAAAGTCTCATTTGGTGATGAATGTGCCTGCCTGCATGACCAGTTCTGGAGCTACTGGAATAGTTTCCTGAACTCCAAAACTTTAGAAGACTAACAGCTATAGCACAGAAGAGGCCTGGCCTCATAACGCACCTGAAGAGGGAGACCAAGATGTACCAGACTAATTAGGAAAAGCCATAGAGACCAAAAGCTGGAAGTGTGGGGCTACTTGAGTGGATAAATCAAAGGTTGGGAAAAAACAAACAAGAAAAAGCAGTTGACTTTTTGCTAGCATAAAATGCTAGAAACCTCCATTTTTATGTCTTACATATTTGTCCCATGACATTAAATAGATAAACCT